TGGAGGACCAAGACGCATTTATAACAGCCTTCAGTTGTTCTGAATCATTGACTCTCATTTTTCTCTTAGCTAACCCATAGATTCTCTAAGGTCAAGTTATAGTCCCATTAGTTGTCACACACACTGATGTGTGTGCGAAATTTGTTCTCTGCATTTGACACATCCCCTGGGAGAGCGGTGAGCTGCAGACACAGCCGTGCTCAGGAACTATTTGGTGGTTTAACCCCCCAATCAAACCCCTTAATGCTGAGTGTGAAGCTGGGAGGCATTGGGGTTCAGGTCACGCTAGTTTGCTGGACAATGAAGTCAGCATCTCCATAAAGCTGGTCTGCAAAAGGAAGAATGAAGTGCTCCAAAATTTTCTGGTGGAAGACTGCATTGACTTTGGACTTAAATCACAATAGACAAACACCAGCAGATGACATGGTTCCCAAAATCCCTCAGCACTTCAAGCATCTGCAATTCTTCCAGACTCAGGGAACTTGTCTTCCAAATGAGATGCTAAATTGTCTCATCAGAAAGTAGGATTTTGGAACACTGTTGATATTGTTGTTCAGGAGCAACTTAACAAAAGGAATAGAACATTTGAGGCACATGTCCAGCATTTGTCTGTGTGTGGTGGCTCTTGATGCACTAACTCTAGCCTCAGTCCAGTTCTTGTGAAGGTCCTCATCAACTTTCCAATGGCCTTTCCAGACAACTCTCTCCAGGGTTTCAATGTATCTGCTTTGATTCATAACTGGCATAAAATCAAAATGAATTTGCAATGACCTTTGGAGGCTTTCACTACTTATGCAGGGATTCAATGATGATTTTCTTCAAAACTGCCTGATTGTGATTCCTACTGAAACAGACTGAGAGCCCATTTCATGGCTAAGGAATCTTTAGCAGGTGTTTTTGGATAATAAGCTGATTTGAGCAGTATTCACAGCTGTTTTTGGAGATGCACAAGTACGTACCACTTTGAAACTCTTGCCATGGCCATGCTGTATCTTCAGACAGTATGGTTTCTATGCACAGGCACTCATTGCTTGGAACCATTTTGTTATACTCGTCGACCACTGACGTCAGGATTCTTTTCTCCTTTCTGATTTTGTGGCGACCCCCGGCTCGGCCTTTACTGCCATCTGTGTCTTTGTACAGACGTTGTGAACGCCTTTTGATGCTTGCCACAAGCCCCTCAATCTTACTTCCAAGATTAACTGCAGCTTCATCAGTCTTGTTGGATGTCTCTGTATAAAAAGCATGGAAGTTGGTAACTGCACACTGACATACCTATGTATGTAAAAAATATATAGTATACCATGCATTATAATTATTAGGTAATTATAATATTATAATATCTACCTTCTGCCCACTCCTTCACATCAGTTACCCACTCCTCCAACTGCTTGTCAGTTACACCCCACTCGGATTTTTGGGACTCCAGTGTTTCAAGCTGACTCTCGAGAGTTCTTGTGGTCTACAAGTAAAAACTGATATTGAATTCAACATACATAAACTATTCATAGAGGACAAATTGATGCCATTATTACTTTCAAATATCTGTGAGACAGGAAGACAGCCAAATTGGAGGTCTTTTGCTGATTCCAGCGCATGGCCATTAATGTCAGCATGTCTGAACGTCCTGCAACAGAAGGGAGGCTGCAATCATTTTCAATACAATGCAGTATACAATACACAGTTTTGTGTAGACCAAATAAACCCGACAGATTAGAATTTGCCTTACAAATTATTTTGAAAAAGACAGCCCAGTTTTGAAATTGCCTTATATGTATTTGTATGCACCAGTCTTTAAGAATGATGGAGAGAAGTATGAAGAAGGTTTGGAAAAGCCCTGGATCTAAAGCACAACATACATGTGAAACATGATGGAGGCAGTGATTACATGGGCATGCGTTGCCTCCAGTGGTACTGGAAGCCCTGTTGCAACCCGAACAGGCCTAGGAAACCCTGATGGGATGAACACAGCAAATAGATTGGGAGGGAAAAAACCAGAAGGCTCAAAACAATAATAAACCTTTTTGTAATAAAAAAGTTTATTACAAAAAGTGTCCTAACCAAGATTAAAAACTCTCTAGTTGGGAGAAGACTTACCTAAGGTAAACAATGAAAAATAGAATAAAATAAAAACTAAGCAACTCAAAAAATATTCATAACTACTCTGAATTAAATTAAACTCTTACCCAGGGTCAGTAGTTCATAAGGGAGAGACTAAATAGAGTCTAAACCAAACATTTGCAACTCAAATCCTCAAAAAAATTTTAAGACTGAGATAAGTAACAAAATGATTTAGGATCATTAACACTGAGTCAATCTCCAACTGCAGCAATATCCCAATCCAAGTTTATCTCAGGGCCTTATGTCTTAGTGTGCAGCAACCTCCTGCTATCTGGTTCAGGTAACTCTTCTTGTTTACCTCTCAAAATCTTCCTTAGAGCTCTCTTGCTACATTTCTAGCCCCTCTGCTTTATCTCTATGCCTGTTTCTCCTCATCTGGCTACAAAAAAACCTGTCCTGAATAGGCTGCGGCTGAAGGGAGTTCAGGGAATGTCGCTCTTCATGGTGCTGAATGGAAGAACCCTAGCAGGTACGGTGTAGTGGAGTTGTCCAAGGTCATGAACTGGAGGCAGACTGGTGGTAAAACCAGGGGCCGTAGCAAGCAGTAGAGTATTTTTGGTCATTTAACAAAAGACACTCATTAAGTGAACATGTAAATGTAAATGTAGGTTCGGGAGCAGGACCACGACTCAACTACATCTCATAAACACCTCTACTTCAAGGTTTACCACATCTCAGCCACATTTGCTATCTTCACAAACATCTCCAGCTGTTTGTCTGTGTTCTCTCAACCATACTCCCTTCAGGGTTATGTTTTTGCCTTCCAGTCTCCAGCTGCTCTCAAGTAGACTGTAGTAGGGGGTCTCCAGTCAGCCGGCTATGCTATTCAGATACGGAACCCCCATCCTGAGTCTGCTCATAGCCATCACCTTCCACACCTTCATCCATCACTGTGTGTTTTTATAAAGAACATTTCAGGCCCTTCATCCGTGGTCCTTGCTAGTGAAATACTATACATTTATACTAGATCTACAGTATCTCACAAAAGTGAGTACACCCCTTACATTTTGGTTGGACAAGGCACACTGGACAGCAAATTTACACAAGTTGTACACCGACTAATTGCATATTGTCATATGTTCTGATATTTCCCATAAACAGTTAAAATGACATATTTACAAAAACGTGAGAGGTGTACTCACTTTTGTGAGATACTGTAAGAATATTAAAAGAGAGATGCACCAACCAGCCTTTTCAGTCCTGATATCGATATTTGGGCTTTTTGGATCAGTTGATACCTGATATCCACCAATACTAATGCAAACATTAAAACATTGTTATATAACACATAATAAACCTCTAACATGATATAACTTGGGACAGAAAATAACTCATAATGTGGAAATAATTTGTCAGTGGCAGTGTAAAAAGTTATGTAGTTCGCCACATTATTGCTCTGCTCATTATTTGGATAAAGTGAAGTAAATAATATAATCCGGTATCAGCCATGTTTAGCTCTCCACAAATCCAGCTACAAAGCCTGGATCGGCAACAACATCCAATACAGTACTGGTATCGGTGCATCCCTAATTAGAAATACTGTGTTTTCATACCTGCTTTTGACATATGCTTCGTGGTGACTGCAATGCGAGACGGGAAGGCATTGACCTGCTCCACTTCTTCACCCAGAGTTAACCCCGCCCCTTCCTGATATGCTCCACTCCATTTCACCTGTTTCAAAAAGAAACTATGTAGAAACTTTTCACCTCTGACAATGACTTTTACAAACACACAGTATAATAATTTCACTCACTTCACATTGGAAGTTATGGGCTTTGGCATGAAACACAGAGAGGAATGGCTTCATATCAAGAAGAGGCTGTAGCTCTGGGCAGCTTTTGGCCAGCCTCTGGAGGTAAGGCCAATATTTGCAGGTCACATCCATGCAAAAAAAACCTGCTGTTGGGCAGCTTTTGTTGCAAGTACAGGGGATACGCAAAAATTTCTCCTCTGTACATATTAAGGGCCCGCAGGAGCACTCCATGCCGGCACACTGCAAGCTCAAGGCCCTCCTCATCAAGCTTGCTGGTAGACCTTAAGGAGGTTTCTCTGGCCGCCTGCCACTGACCACCACATTTACCTTTCCCAGACACCTAAATTTAACAGGATGAAAATATTAGAGCCTACCTCTACGTTACGATATTTTACATTTATACAGTAATTACAGTCCCATCTTACATGCTTTGTCTTGCTTTGAATGTGGTCCACAAATTGTGTAACGTCCTGATCATCAGCAATAAAGACACCCTCAAAGATGGCCTTTTCCTCACATCTGTAAAAAGCAGAAATGTAAATCTATAATTAACTAAGATCTGTGATTTGTAATGTGTTTGATCTTTATGCTGACATTTTATTGTACCTGGCAGCATTATTAAAACGATAATGTTTGCGGTTTCCATCAACAGAGACCGCAAGCATCTCTGGGCTGCAGGCAGGACAGGCAAAGGGCTCGGATTTGCAGTGGCTGTCAACTTCATATCTCACAGCCTCCCACTCAAAAAAACTTCTCATGAAGCTGTCTGCTGAGATCTTTCCAGTCTATTAAAAACATTTAAGAAAACATAAAAGAACTCTATTTCATACACTGTTGAGATAATTAAAAAAATATATACTCACACGACCAAAGCGAACGGTTCTTAGATCCAGCATTCTTATAAATGCCTGACAAGACAATCCGGGCGCTACCATTTTCATTTCTTCAAATGTGAAGAAAATATCACATGCAAAGATTGTTTCATAGTGCATGGTAGCTGGCCAGAAGTCATTTTTTATCAGGTCTTCAATCAAAGCAGTCCATGTGGCATTGCACATCCCACAGGTCATCTTTGGGATATTGAGGTCATGACGTCCTTTAAGAAAACATAAATGCAACATGAATTTCACATATTTTCTATTGTCAGATCACAAACACAATAGAAAAATATTTTGATGCACAACAATATACTTGTACCGTTCATAGTGATCACAGCCACAACCTTTCCGGCACTGAGATTCAAGTACTCAGCTGGACAGCTGCAGATTTTGGAAGGGACCTCTAGAGGTACAACTCGTTCTAGAAAAAATAAGTTCATGTTATATATGTATATACTAACAAACTGTGTGCACAATAACAGCATGTATGCTCAAAAAGAACTCACCACAATGACAAAGAGCTTCATTTATAATAACTTTGGTTGGGGGCAATGGCTCAAAGAATCCTCCTATAGTGGCCTCTCTATTGTGGAATGGATGTTGGCTGTGTGCATTTAAATCACATTCTCCACAGAGGAACGGCCGTGGACGACAATCCCGACACCGGATAGCAGCTGCATTGCTTTGACACTCCTGGCATAAGTTGGGTTCCACCTTCTCCTTTGATATCAGGGTATTGACTAAATAAGGCCTCACAGATCTCCAGTTTTCCAGCTCTCTCATTTTCCTTAAGCCCCAGTTTGCTGATGTCACAGTGGGAACCACTGGGGATACTTCTTCAGTCTCAACATCAGCAAATGAATGCTGGAGGTCCCGCATGAACTCGTCTGATGAAATTAGAGAACAAATGATGTTCACTGTTCAGATAATGTTTAAAATTGATCTGATTTTATACATATACTCATACACAAATCAAACATATGAAATAAAACTAGTGGATAAATAAAGAAAAACATACCACATGTCTCAGGAGCAAAGACAACATCAGGAGCTGAGACGGGAGCTGAGACCGTGTCAATCAACAGACTGTGACCAGCTGTTATCAAAATAAAAATACTAATGATACTCATATAATGAAACTAAACTTTTCTGAACATTACCAGCACATTATAGTGATCAATAAAATTATATAGAAGGTTGACAAAAAATTTGTTTGCAAAGCATTGTTATAAGCCTTTGGATTGGGTTAGGTTGAGTTTAGTTATATTTAACCCTCCCACTGTCTTCATGGGTGACCCCGCCAGGAAAGTTGACCATTGAGTATTGATGGTTTATCATCGGCACGTCGTATTTATCAGCACTACCTCACCCCTGCCACGTGGACCTCAAGGGATAAACCATCAATCCTGCTCAATGGTCAACTTTCCTGGCGGGGTCACCCATGAAGACAGTGGGAGGGTTAAGGAAAGAACAATGCTCACCCTGAGTGCACTGGTTCCTTAGTGCCCGTGGTCTCCTGTGGATGAGGTTTCCACCACTGTTTCTCTTCTTCCACCTCACTGTTGGCATCGGTGCTGCAATTGGTATTGCAGTTTTCTCATTTTGCAGCTGACTGAGGAAGTCATCGGTGTCTTTTAGGTCCTCAGTGACCTATCCCTCAATGCTCTGCAGTAAATCCTGCAGCTCACTCTCACTCATTGTTAATGAGGAATACCTCTCTCTCTCTCTCTCTCTCTCTCTCTCTCTCTCTCTCTCTCTCTCTCTCACACACACACACACACACGAATGCACACAGGCTATATTTCCCACACAGACAGAACAACAATTACAGTAAACAAACTAAACAGTCAGACACAGAAGACGAAACCAAAGGAAAACAAGTGTGACAAACAGAAGACAAATTACAAAAAACAGACGTGGCTCTAAAAAGTGCCTTTGTGTTGATGAAAAGTTGGGGTTCAGATAGATCAAAATGACAGCAGCTGTTGAAAGAGAAAACAAATGTCGGTTGCACATCAAAGTCTGACACGGTAAAAGTTTACATAGCTTAGTTTACATGTTATCTGGATTTTCTTTCAATACCTTTTTCTTAAAATGTCATTGAAAATTATACACGCGTATTTATAAAGTGTACATATAATGATAAGAACGGCATTTCAAAGTGTTTTTGTGTAATCAATCATAACGGATTAGAAAATGTTCTACTTACTGAAAGGAGAGTAAACGGAAAGACCGGACGACCAGTTTACGCGGGACCTGTAGCATTCTATCACGTGATATAAGCACGTTTGTAAATAATTGTGTATTTAGATTGAAAATGTATTTAGATGAAAAATAATTATATTATATTTAGCGCTATATTACAACAGTCAATAAATAAATTGTTTTGGTTAAAAAAGGAGCCTAAGTCACGCCCATCTACTTCCGGACCATGGGTGCCCGGAAAAACGAAAACAAAAATTGTGAACTACTATTGCAATCACTTTAAAATGTATTACTGTACTGTAACAAATATTTGAGATTTAAAATTTAGCAACCGAGTGGGTTACAGAACTGTCAGAAACAATAAAACTCGTTTCTTGACATAAAACCAGCTTATTACTACAAAGTGCTTCTTCTCTGCCCGCAGCCGAGGATTGTGGGAAACGCAGTTTGTTATGCTTGCCATAACGCAACAAATAAGTTTATAAACACGGCTTATACTGACAAATAAATGAAAATTGTTGTCTCGAGCAGTTAAATAAACATGCCGGTGTTTTATAACTGTATTGTAAATAAATCGATTCTCATAGATGACGTAGATGACTCGTAGTTACGTTCAGAAGTCCACACAATTTATATAAATGTAAGCATAAGCTGCCGCAAAGTCCGTGTTTAAATGTGGCTCCACAGATGTCAGAAAAATACTCAAAGTTATCCAAATGATGGGGAAATATGCGTGTTCAGTGCAGCGCAAGAGAACATCCAAACTCGTCACTGTGTCGCTGCACTGGGATTTGCATTAGAATCAACGGATACTCCTTTTTGTCACATATATACGAAAAAGGGCACTTTCTGCGTTGGTAACTGACGCAGAAAGTGAGTGACCAAGCGTTTGTTTCCGACGCTTAGGGTGTGAGAACGTGCCTGTGCAGCTGCAAGATCTTAGATCAGGAGATCCTGTTTTAGCAAAGTGGTCAGATGGTAAATTTTATAGGGCCACTGTTGAATATATTTCAGGGGAAGATCATTCTAAGCTGCCAAAAAGCCACCAAACTTCACAGAAGTCCTTTTTAAATATGTTAAAAGAGAATGTGCCATTACACTCATCAGAGTCTAACACCATTATAAGAAGCCCACTGTCTGAACATGGTGAGGAAATCCCAGCCATGAATGCATCACCTGACGCGGGGCATGCAACAAGCCGCAGCTCTGGTGGCCCACCATCCTACAGGTAGGCTTACATTAATAATTACAAAATCTTAGTTAAGTTTTTTGCCATTGGTTTCTCATTATGTTTATCTTATCATCTGTTTAAATCAATCAGTTAAATCTCTCACAAAAAAGCTCAATTGTCACAACACATTGTGAGCTTTTTGCTTAGTATTCAGGGTTTTTCCTGGCTCAAATTGAGGCAGAGGTGGTACCATCCTGACCATGCACCAGCACATGCGTACTCTGTGCATTTAATTAGCCTCACTTTTTGAAAGGCTAAATATTTTTCCGTTAAATGTGTTAAATTCCGTTAAATTACAAATCTAAGTTTCTTTTGATTAATTGAATATTCCATTTCACAACATTTCAAGTGAAACAAAACTAGTTTGCTGCTAAAAAAGTATGAAATAAAACAAAATTATCAGGCTGAAATAACAGACTCTTATTATAAAAGGCTCAATAATATGCACTAGATTGGTGTTTAGTTCCCTTTTTCCATCTGATATTTGTAGTTAAATTATTTTTTTAATATTTGACCTACATTTCAGTAACAATTTAGGTTTTGTATTAATAACACTCATCTTAGTCAAAATAACACATAAATATATCCAGTAAAATATAATGCATTTCATTAACATGCATTTGTATTGGAAATGGTAATAGCATTTGATTTCTGCTGCTAACAATGTAATGGTGGCATGTCTATTATGTACGGGTTGGCTATAATCCAGTTTAAATTATGTTCAAAGATAGAAGCGTTTGTGAATTATATATTACAACAGCTTGCCGTACTTCTGGCACCAGCAGTAATGTGACTCGTATCTGCAGCGGTTCTGATCCGTAGCGCTGTGGGATGCAGAATAAACAGGATGGTGGGGACTTTTCATCCACTTGTAGAGTTTAGTCTTTCTTAGTTTTACCATCATCATATGTTTTTCTGTGCGCCACTTGATCGTGAAACTGCTACCTGTTAGCTTTAGCGTTAGCCAATCTGCCTTTCTTTTGATCCCAAACTTTGGACCGGTTCTGCCTTTGTTGGTTCCTTTATTTTCCTCTACTGCATCCAGATGACCACACTGTGTGCCAGTAAAATGCATTTTTCTTACACGTAACTTACTTTTGTTAAAGAAAGTTCTGGGGAAAATAGTAATTCAAAGTTGTTGCACCAGTGCTACGTTTAAAAGTAGACAGACACACACAGACAGTTATTTTCGTCGGACTGTACAGCCCTGCTCTGATTTGGAAGAGCCTGGGGGAAAATCAGGAAGTTAATAGCACCAACCATAGATATTTACCAACTAGCAGAAAAGCAAATTTTGATCTTTTTCTGCAGTGGTTTTTGCACTTTTCGGTGCACCACTGCTGATACAGCGCCCTATAGTGGTGCAATGCTGCAACTGCAGTTAAAATAACATCCATAAAGCTGGGGGCAGAGTGAATTCAGGCTGGGGCGGTCCAAAATTAGCTGGAGGTGGCCGCCACGTAAATTTGAATGCAGGAAAAACCCTGGTATTGAAATGTTGTTACGGCTTTACCTGTCCAACCTGGGTTGTAACAAATGTTCTGTGTCTAAGTATAAAACGATTATTTTATAGGTAATTCTATCAGTTTTTTGTAGTCATTTGCCATGTGTCTTTTGTGTTTACTGAAATGTAATTTATGGTTCAATGTAAATTTATGACAGCTCTAACACCATCAATACATCACCCTACGGAGACCATACACCCAGCCCATCACCAAAAGGCACGGACACTTCTCGTCCATCTCCCTATGGAGTCCACACAGCCAGCACATCATCGTATGGCCTTATCCACACCTCAGGTCCACCTCCCTATGGAGACCGTACACTCAACCCATCACCTTATGGCCTCATCCACACCTCAGGTCCACCTCCCTATGGAGACCGTACACTCAGCCCATCACCATATGGCCTCAACACCTCGTCCATCTCCCTTTGGCAGCTATACACCCAGCCCATTACTGTATGGCCTCAATACCTCAAGTCCATCTTCCAACAGAGGCCACTTACTCAGCACGCGACTATATGGCCATGCCAACCCAGGTCCATCACTCTATGGAGGCCAAACATCCAGCCCATCACTATATGACCTTGAAACCCCTGGCCCTTCACCTGGCAGAGTTAATGCAGCTGGTTTGCCAGGTAGTGGGGTCAGTCTATCTGACAGTGGAAAAGCATCTGACCAGCCACAAGACAGGAGAGATTCAGGCAGCTCATCTAATCAGGGCAACATTCCTCCTGGTCACCAGGAACAAAATGCATGGACACATGTGATAGATGTAAGGGGGAGGTTGAAAGAATTCTACAACAAAAGAGAAAGATCGATGAAGTCATCGCAAGAATAGGCGAGTTTTTTTTTTCAATTTGTTCATGATGTTATTTTTTTCTTATAACGTGTAAGTGATTGGAAATTGAACACTTTATGTATTGAATTATCTTTTTAAAAAGACAGAAAAATATGCTAGTGCATTACACCTGGTGTGTCCAAAGTGCGGCCCAGGGGCCATTTGCGGCCCTGGGAATGATTTTGCATGGCCCTTACTAGCATTTTTAGAATTATGGAATTAAGTCTGTTTAATATTCTATGTTCTATGTGCTGCTGACCTCTACTTGGGACGTTGTGGTTCGGTGGGCAGAATACTTCGAAGACCTCCTCAATCCCACCGACACGTCTCCCAGTGAGGAAGCAGAGTCTGGGGACTTTGGGTTGGCCTCTCAAATCTCTGGTGCTGAGGTCACTGAGGTGGTTAACAACCTCCTCTGTGGCAAGGCTCCAGGGGTGGATGAGAGCCACCCGGAGTTCCCTAAGGCTCTGAATGTTGTGGGGCTGTGTTGGCTGAAGTATAGGGTTGGGCATTTAGCATCGATTGGAACCAGTTCCAACTGTTCATTTTTCCCGGAATCACTCAACGTTTTATATTTCAATTCCTAGAATGTCGACCGGAAGAGGAATCCGCGGCCGATCTCCGTGAAAAATAAACGTGATCTGCAAATGATATCACAATGATAGTTAACGTGATGAGCGGAACCAGGACCAAAACTCCAGGTGGGCCGGCTGAGGTCGGTCCAGTCATGGTGTTGCAGCTCGGCGGGCAGGGACGACCACTGGAGTCGTTTGCTCTTTAAGAGGCTTTTATTTCGTAGTTTTATCAATGAAACACACACACTGCTCCGTTCAAACTTCGTGCTTGGAGCTGCGGTGAGACTCTTCCAGAGATGTTCAAGGACACTACGTCAAAAGCAGTTCTCTGATACGCCAAAGGTGCGTTCAGTGACAACTTGTAAATAAGACTTCTCTTAACAAAAACTGTTCACATGAACTAAACATGAAGAAAAAAAACTGTTCACATGAACTAAAAATAAAAAAAGAAGTGTGGGGTACCTTTGAACCAATAAACAAATAAAGTTTAACCATTTGCATATTTTCACCTAGTCTGACCCCAGCAATATATGTATCTCTCACAATGACACTCTGCTGATCACCTGGTGATGAGAGGATTTCACCTGTCAGTGGAACAGGTGAGCTGCTGAACAAGCATTAGTTCCTAGAAACACTTTCTGTGGCCAGACTGTAGTGACCTGTTATTTATAATTTTATAATTAATATTAAATGAATGCACTAAACCCACAAATGATAAGATTAAATTCCATTAATCATATTACTATCAAATGTAAATAAGTATAACAGATAACCAATCTTAATGAAAAACTGATTAATATTTTTTTATTTTAATATTGATTATATTTCATTTCTAAGGTTTGGATGTCTGTGAACATTACAAAATATTCAGATTGGTGTAAAGAACATGATATTATTAATAACAGGTCATGATCTAAAGCTGGTCTGAGGTATAAAACTCTCCCCTGGGCCTAAAGCCCAGCAGATCTATTTAGTTTCTATAAACACCAACATCAAATAAATTACAGCAGCTGGATTCTACTTTGTTCCTTAAATTGAGTCACGTAGTTTTGCAAGTTCTGCAGCTCACGCATTCAACAGAAAGATCTGCCAGCTGATTGGTTCTTTTGGTATCTGGGTGCAGTTCTGGTACTGTCAATCTTTAGGTGAAAAGCAGTGCTGTACGATACTGCAAAATTTGGTATCGATCCGATACCAAGTTAATACAGGGGCTAGTATTGCCGATACCGATACCAATGCCGATACATTTTACTACTAGTCTAGTACCATCTAGTTTTGTGGGATTTATTAAGATAAATAGGATCAATAAAACTTGAGTTTTCAGACAAGATTCTCATATTGATGATGTCATCAATATGAGAATCTTGTCTGAAAACTCAAGTTATATTGATTACTTCATAATTTTTTAATTTTTTCTTTAATAAATCATGTGTACGATGATAATAAAATACAGGGAACATTTTCAGGCAAATAAAGTTTTCATTAGGAAACTCAAAATGGTTTAAAAATGGTTAACAAACTCAAGATTTTCTTCCATTGGAAATCTATAAAGCTGTGTAAAAACATTCCAAGCGGCGTTCCTTTATCGGTCTGCCATCATGCAGCCACGACAGTGCTCTCTGCTGTTCTGTGCTTGTCTAGTGCTGGAGCGCTGTTTTACATTTTTTTATGTAATGGCGGACTGCCCCGTTGACTGACATCCATGGCGTTCCAATCACAATGCTTTAATAGTTTTTTGGCCAATCACAGTGCTCTTTTAGCGAGGTAGGCGGGATGTCCCTGCAAACAAACATGGCTGCCGTTCGAAACGGTCCAATCACAGGTATCAGCCAGGTAAACTACAAATCAAGATGGCTGCCATTCTGTAGTGGTCCAATCATGGCGCTCTATAGATTTCATGGGCCAATCGCAACACTAAGTAGGCAGGATGTTATTGGAAAACAAACAAACGTGACTCGTCGGCGGTCAGCCGCTCGTTTGAAACTGCTTTGGCATCAAGTTTGGACTATTATGACTTTAGCTTTTGTTTGAGTCAAGGTCAGATAGAAGTA